GAAGCTTTCTGGATGCTCTTTTTAAAAACTGCAACTCCTTCCTTCATTCTCTGCCTCATTTTGCTCCATAGCTTTTAACTCCTTTTTGACATACTTCAGAGATTTACTTCTTTCTTTCAGTATGTCTGTCATCTCTCTCTGGCATGTAAAGTCTGTCTGCTGCATCCTCAGGGCCTAGAAGAGTGTGTGGCACAGAGCAGATGCTCTGCATGCGAGCTGACATGGAGGGATGGACGGCCAGGTGGGCAGCAGTGCCCACCTCCTCCAAACGGGAGTCACTTTGGGGCTCCTACCATTCAGCAAAGGCTTCAGGGATTTCTGTCTGTCTGTCTCTTACACACACACACACACACACGGGCGGAAAGGACCCGAGGAACAGTGCCGGTCAGCACAGATCAGATGCATTTGCTGACACCACCACCTGGAAGGACTTGGGCCTGGTGTGGCCTGGGCTACACGGGTGGAGATCAAGGGAATTAACAGTAGGCCCCATGGGAGTTTCTGGAAAGCGTCTTCAGGCTTTTTCATCCAGACTCAAACGCAGCCAGCCTGTCTGAGATTTGTAACCAAACCACCTGGACAGCAGAGGGTGTCCGTAGGTGTGTTCACTGAGACAGACCCTGAATAATTATCTGAGGAGACTGAGCTTCCTTTCTGGAAGGACAGACCCTGCTCATCTGGTGTAAATGCTCTGACTCCTGATCTGTCTTTTTTTTTTTTTTTTAATTGAAGTTTAGTTGATTTACAAGATGGTGCTAGTTTCCAGCCCGTCTTCTTTTTGTGACTTCCTGTCTTATAAAGTGTGTCCTCTGATAAAACAGCCATCAGTCACTGAATGCTCACGACATGTGGGTCCTGCTGACCCACCGCCCGGCCCACCTCGGCCCTTCTGTCTTCACGAGACAGGATGTGTGGGGCTGGAGTACCTACTCTGGAAGCAGGTCTGGATGGGATGAAACAGTGCTAACTGTCAGAGTTGACCTGGGCAGGCCACTCAACTGCTCCAGCTTCAGTTTTTCACCAGTGAAAATGGGGACAAGAGCTCTCCCGCAGGGTTACTGGAAAGGTGCAAATACAACAGTGCCGGCACATAGGAACTGCTTGGTAAAGAGAAGCCTTTATCCTTGGGTTTTCATCGTGGCAGCCTGAGGAGACCCTCTGTGCCCTTACAGACTGCCCTAGGTTCCGGCGGGAGAGTCTGGGGGCTCTCGTCTAATCAACAGAGTAAAAGTTATAGGGGAAACTTGGTCTAAACTCATGGCCACTCTGATCAGTATCTTCCTGAACTTGACTCCCATTTACCCGAAGGGACGAGCAAACAGGAGGTCAAAGGAGAAATCAGAGCAGGGAGACATGCAGAATTAGTTCCCTAGGAGAAGGAGAAAATAAAAGGAAAAGGAAGAATTATAGGAAAAGGTGAGATCACATCATTCAGTTAGAAAGTCCTGAAAAGGGGCGTAAGTACGAATGCTAGTGCCTGTGAGCCTAAGGCAGTGCTATGCCACCTAGGAGGCTGGCCAATGACTGTGTGGCCCCCTAGGCTAAAATGTGGGGTCTCCCAACAGGATAGAGATGGAGCAGGGGGCCTTGGTGGTTAGGAAGCCCCTAGGGTCAGAATTCTATTTCTTCTAATGTCTCACCTTCTCCAGCCCATTAATGAAAGAATATCTACTTAGTTAGGCCTCATCCAAAGAATTTAATTATCCATGTACCTGTGAATCTTGTTATAAAGCAGGAAGACATATATGCATCCTCAACCCCACTGTCTGAATTTGGGGGAGCCCCACCGGAGCTGGAGCGCACATCTCTGTGTAATGCCTCGGGGACCCATAAAACGGAGCACGGGGCTGGGAGCATCCCAGCTTCCAGCGAAGGTTCCCAGTGCCATTCAGAACAAAGACCATCCATGCTCGGTCTCCGATAATCAGAGTCTGATAGAAATCCATGTTCAACTCAGTGATGTGGTCGGCAGGTCAATGCTATCACCTTCTAAAACAGGTGCTAGCTACACCACAAGTTCCGAGAGTCCTACTGGGGCCATGCTGTGGGCAGGTGCCACCAGAAGGCCTAAGGCACACGTAAGAAGCTGGAACAAAAAAAGGAATAAAGGGGGAGGGACCAGAAAGGCAGTAATTGGAGTTGAAGCAAAAGTAAATAAATAAGAAAAGAAAGAGAACCAAACACACATGATGGGGGAACAGCCCCAGGTTAGATGTCTCTGAGTGGTCCCCTTCCCGTGGGGCATTTGCAGGGGGCTGCTTTACTTAGAAGTACCATTCAGAGCTGAACTTGGTTTGTTCTGAAGGAAGCGAGGATAGAGCTTGGCCCTTTTCCAGAGATCTAGGCTGCGCAGGGATAAAGGGTCTTGATATTGGAAGGGAATCCCCATTTCCAAATCCCCACTCCCACCCCAATCTCTTATCATCTAAATAGGAAAATACACGCAAGGTACATTCCCGGAAAGAGGAGGTTTCAGAGGCCTTCTTGAGCGGAAGGGAATGGAGAAGAGGATCTGGTAAGGGTGACAGACCAGGAGGACAGGCCATGCACACACAGGAGGGCTGGATGAGACCACAGAACGAGACAACATGGGGAAATAATAAGCAGAGGCCACAGCAAAGCCGCCACATGCATGGGCGGGGTAGAGTCTCCCGGGTGCCCAGGTGACAGTGACTGGAAGGACAGATAAGGATAATCACCTGTATGTGCTCCGATGGAGGTCTAGCTAATTTGAAAGCAGCCTCACAGCCACACCCATAAACACATGATCGGGCTCCCCTGTGGCTCTGATCTCATCTCTTTCTAGCCTGCTTCACTCACAGGCCTCCTTCCTATTTCTTGATCTACAAGAACCTACTTCAGGGCCTTCCTGATGCCCCTGCCTGGGATGCGAGTCTCTGTTCAATTACCCCCTCATCCCAGAGGTCTTCCTTGACAAGAGTAGCTCCCCACCCCCTTTACGTGCTTTAGGTTTTCTCCCTGCACTTAGCATCGAGGGTTTCTTTTGTCTGCTTCCCCCAATGGAATATGAGTTCCACAAGGCTGGATTCTACTTTGTTTTACTTCTGAATATTGCTTAGTGCATGCCAGGCCTCATGAAATATTTGTCAAATGAATGTGTGTACCCAAAGCCATGACATTTATAATATACATATAAAGAGTTCTATTGATTGAACTGTTGGGTGTTTCAGGTTGCACCAGCTATAAGGGGCAGGGTAAGGGTGGGAAGCCACTGACGTTGAGAAGCCTTAGTAATAAGTGAGGGTAGAAAGCACCTGCAGCTGAGAAGGCCATGTTCTGTGGGAAAGATCCCGATTTGTAGCTCTGCTCTGAGGGTCATGGGGGTGTGGTAACCAGCCTCCAAAGTGGCCCTCAATGATCCTAGGCACCCGACATTCACACCCTTGTGCAGTCCCCCATCCTGAATAGGGCTGACTTGTGTAACCAATAAAATATTGTGAAAATGATGATGTGTCACCCATGGCCTTGGTCATAGAAGACATGGTGGCATCTTTTTCTTTCTTGGATCACCCATTCTGGGGAAGCCCAGCCACCATGCTGTGAGGACACTCAAGTAACCCTGGAGAGAATGGCATGGGGAGGAACTGAGGCCTCCTGCCAACAGCCAGCACCATATAAGTGCGCCACCTTGGAAGCAAGTCCTCCAGCCCCGGTCAAGCCCGATTCAGCTGATGCAACCCGTGCTGATACCTTGGCTGTAACCTCATGAGAGACCCCCAAGCCAGAAGCGCCCAACTCAGCTGCTCCCAAATTCCTGACCCACACAAACTATGTGAGATAAGAAATGTTTATCACTGGTTGAAAATGCTACATGTTAGAGTAACTGGTTTCACAGTGATAGATAATTATCATAAAGCAGAAGACACGGGGGTCATATATCCCAGGCTTGAGTTAATATGAGTATGTCAAGGATTGTGTCTTTTACCAGTTAACTGTGAGGCCCGTTTTCCCTTCCCAAGCCATCTGGTCCCAATTTGATTCTGCAACTCTTAGTAGCCACAAATGCCACCCGTATCCTCAATAAACTTTATTTAGACACAAAAAGACACAACAGAAAATACATACACAGATACAGATTTTTTTTTTCTCTATAGGATGAACAAACATCACATAGGGAATTTAAAAATTGGGTGCATGGAATGTAAGAAAAAATAGCAAAGTTCCTTGTTCACTCACACTTAAAACAAACACATATTTCAGGGGAAGACAGGGATATACCATCCCTACAACAGAATTCACAGTTGTCTATAACAGTACACAGGTGTTAGGAAGGTAATCAAAGGAGTTAGGGATCCAGTTACTCTTGATATGACAGAATGCTCACAACACTAGTAGAACTCTGTTTAAACAAAAGACAGAATCGACGATGTCACACCCCCTGCACAGATGCTCTGCAAGCTGTCGGCTAGGTCATAAAGCAGCTCAGCAGAAATGCCACGTTAACTTTCAGCTTGTGGCTTGAAGGTCTGCGTAACCCCTACCTTTGTTTGCCCATCGTGGAGAGTTTACATAGACACACTTAGGACGCCAAAACTCTCGACATGCGTGCTGGCTTCGAGACCCACGGTACAGAACATTGACATCAGTTTATAAAATGTGGCTTTCAGATGGAAAGGAATAATAGCCAAGAGGAGAACGAACACTTTGCAGACGCTGCCACATCCGTCGGCAGTGTTTCCCACCATGCCGCCCGTGGTCCCCTCCCACGGGGAGCCACTGGCATCTGTGTCCTGCTCCACGCCATGGGCGGGGCAGGACGCATACCTCTTGGAAGTCTATTATTGCCTTCTAGAGTTACACCTGTGACCTCCTGGTCACTCCTGTCAGAAGCCACGCATGTCACCAGGATAAGCAACCATGGAAACCACCCAACTTATCCTGTCCTGGACCAGCCTCTGGCCTCCACCCCATCTTCACATTTCAGATCGGGGTTCCCTAGGCAACCTCTGTATTTTAGTAAAAAATGGTTTCCACTGTACCCTTCGTGTGTCCTCTTCCTAACGTGACAAATCCAGATGAGATGAAGTTATGGAGATCAGGTCCTCCACTTCGGTAAGCATCCTTCCCATAATGTCCTGCAAGAAGATGGGGCAGAATTACCTGGCGCATCCAGGACACCAACAAGAAGACAAACATTGCTGCTCCAGCTCACCCAACAGTGATGGTGAGCTTAACTTCAAATCAGCAGCTGAGCCAGAAGGTAGAAGCAATCAAGGAAAAAAAAAATTTTATATATATATATTATTTTATAAATTTATATATAATATATATTATAAACATATAAAGTATATATATGAAGTATGTAATATATAAGTATTACATACTTTATATATATTACCAATTTAAATACATACACATTTATGTGTGTATATATATATATATACACACACACATACACATACACGCACATATAACTGTGCAACAAAGAAGAAAGTTCTGGGAAGCTTATGTTAAAAGGAGAGGTGGGAAAAAGGGCTTGACTTTGGCATTTCTGACTGAGCACATCAGAACTTCAGTCTGTTTGTCCTACCATCCTTTCCTTTGTCCCAGCTTCCTTCCTTCTTTTTCTTGTCTTATTCCTTTGGCTTCTTTCTTTCCAAAGCGTAGAAGTGCGGGTCTGATCAGAATGCTCTATGTGTGTGTGTATGTTTATGAATCATACCTCATCCTATGAATTATAGCCTTGTGGCTTAGGAGAAATCCAACATCCGCTGAGGCTGACAGGTAGGGTGGTGGCTCTAAAACATTGGGAAAATATTTATGTGTTTTCCTCTCTCGACTTTCTGTAGTAAGATTTTTATCCCTCATCAGCCTCATCTATCCATCTACCTGTGGGGCTGGGGTGAGGAAAAGTCCGAGGACAGATTAGGACCCTGGGAGAAGACATTGAAAGAGAAGAGAAAGAGTTAATATTCTGTTTCTGATATTCAAAGTAGGATTTCACAATATGCTTGAAATATAGGCATTATAAAGAAAAGAAGTCCTCTCTAAACACCATCTTGAACTATGGACGTGAAAATGGAGGAAAGCTGTATTTTTGTCATGTTGCCACAAGAGCATATTAAAAACTGTACTTACAATTATAACAATGTGCAGACTACCTAAGATGTAATGTTAAGTGAAAAAGTGGAAGAAAATGCTATATTACGTATGATCACAACACTGTAAAAAAATGCAAACCAGTGTATTAAACAAACAGATTGAAAGAAAACACACCTGATACTGACTACCACCTTTAGATAGTTGGAACATGAGTCTTATTGCTTTTCTCCTTTCAACTTTTCTGTATTTTCCAAGTTTTTTTTTTCTATAATGAGTATGTAATTTTTATAATACAAATAGGTAAAATACATTTCCAACAGAAAAATCTATGATAAATGTAAAGACAACCTAAATCACATTTTTTCTTAGCGAGGCACCCTCTGCATTAGATCTCAAAAATGGGCGCATGTCAGAATCATCTGGAAGCTTTTAAAAATACAGATGTCCCGACACTACTCCAGGGATTCTGGTTCAGCTGGTCAGGGTATTTTTAACGAGGTCTCTAGGTGGTTCTAATGTGCCACAGGGAAGAAGAACCATTGCCCTAGAGTAAATGGATAAACACCTGAATTTCAGTTTGTTCAGGTGGGTGCAATGGACATTTGCTGGGGTCCTCGTGGGTGCCCAGCACCACCCACTATTTAGGTTCCGGAATCCAGCATCCTTCCTCTGAAGAGTGACGTCTGGCTGGCCCTGTTCCTTCCTTCTTCTCCCAGATCAAAGGTTCTCAACCCTGAGTGTGCATCAGAAAAACCAGAAGGGCAGGTTCAAACCTGCTGGGCCCCGCCCCCAGAGTTTCTGAGTCAGTAGATCTGGGATGGGGCTCAGGGTTTTCCATTTCTATCAAGTAGCCTGGTGATTCTGATGCTGCCGAGCCTAGGGGCCAAACACTGAGAACCGTGATCCTAGTGCATGAAGACTATAAGAGAATTTTGCCATTGTTTCCCTCATGCCCTCCACTCTGGAATAAATACCTCCTTCCTCAGGGCACGCAGCTTTTCACAAGGAACTCCCTTGCTGTAAAATAATGTAGTCACAACCCAGAATTTTATAGAAAAGAATTATTGGAGCTGAACTAAGAGGCTTCTGCCCATATCCCAAGCCATGTCACAGCTCCAGAAATCCAACTCTAGTCCTGGAAAAATGCAACTTCATCAGGGGATGAAGGAGAGAGGGACAAGCGGCGTGTGGACGGGTCATTTCCCCCCCACGGCCCCTCCCGACAACAGAAGAGTTAAGAAAAGGAAGTAACAATTCTGAACGCTCATAAATTTGGATCTCATTAATTCAGAACCTCTGTTACATCCTGCAGAGTTTGGGCTGGTTTATTTTTGTGCTCCTTATAAATAAAATTTTTGATAAACAAATCAATCCTGAGAAAGATGGCACATAAAACAGTGCCTTTGCTACTTCAGTTCATTCTTATCTGTCAGCTGGAACAAGGTCCCTCAGGGTTAAGCACTGCGCTACTGCTTTGGGGTTGTGCTTGCCTGAAAGCCAACTAAATCACCCGATCACCTACTATGTGCCAGACAAAGGGACAGAGCCTCTGAAAACACGGTTTAATCTGACATAGAAGCCGAACATTCTGTAGCATTATGCAGTTTACAAAGATCATTCATATATATTATTTCCTTAAAATTTTCATCACTACCACGTGGTAAGTTGTCTATTATTATTATTCCCCCATTTTATTGATGGAAAAACTGAGGCCAGGGGTGTCAAGTTGGAAGATGACTGAACCATCACTAGCATCCTGGTCCTCTGTCTACAAACCCCATGTCAGTTCCATCCTGTGCACCTGGCTTCGTTTACTCCTCACAAGAGCCGTGTGGAAAAAGGTCACTTTCCCAAGTTCATGGAGCTAGTCAGTGGTGGACCCTGGATCCCAACCAGGTCTACCCGCCTCTAAATCCACACTCTTTCTACAACCCTCTCCCTAGCCAGCTCACCCCTCAGTCTGAACAAGTGCAGTTGTGATTCTTCTCTGAGGCTTTAGCCAGGACCCCAGGGCAACGCTAAGCCAGGAGAAGCCCACGTGATGATTCCCAAGTTCACAGACGTTGGATCTCAGACGTGTGGAGTTTCACATACTGAGGTTTGGAGGGGAATGAGGCAGGACCAGGAGCACATAACAGGAATACGGAATATTCTATGGTCAAACAGGTCTGGAAAATACTGAGTTCAAATGAGAAGTAAATACAAAAACCAAGTCTAGACACCTGTCACTGGGTACGCAAGTCTCCAGGGAGCCTTTATATTTTTCAACAGCATCTCTCGGGACAGCTGGAAAGGGCATGGTGGCAGTTTCGGCTTTTGTTCGAGCCATGGTCCTCAAACTTGAGTTCATCAGACTCACCTGGACGGCACAGATTGCCCAGCCCCAGCCCCGGAATTCCTGATTCAGTGGGTCGGAGGTGAGGCCTGATCATTTTTGTTTCTAACGAGTTCCCAGGTGGTGCTGATGATGGTCACAAGTCCAGGGGCCAGACTTTATGAACCACTGTGTTTCAGAGAACCATGGACAGGTCAGTCTTCAGCCAGATCTGGGCCAATGCGAAGAGGTCAAGGTCTAGAATGATTTACGTTCTCTGTACCTTCCAAAGGAACAATCACTTCCTTCAAGGGCAGTGTGAAGAGAATGGCTGGTAAATTGAAGCCCTATGCAAGTGCACGGTCAGATGTGAGGAGAGGCAATGCCCCTTCTTTGCCTTGGGGATGTGCAGAGTTCAAGGGTCAATGATGTGAATGGTATGAATGTGTATCACAGAATTCTTTAGCCATAACACAAAGAGCCTCCCCCTTCGCTTTTCTGCAGCTATGACCCCAAGTCCATGCCCTCCTGCTGGCCATCGAGGCAGGAGACTAAAGGAGTACAAATTTTGCCCAAATTGCAGTTCCAGAGAAATGGCCCTATATCCAGCAGGGCTCCAGGCAGAGGTAAGCAGGAGCTCTGTGAGCACACGTAAGTAGCAGGAATACACACCCACGTGGCAACATCACAAACACACAGCCCCCCGATCGGGAACAAGGGTGGTCTCAGGTTGCAGAGAGAGTGTGCCCGCCCCCACCTGCTGGACCAAACTTGCAAAGCAGCATCTGGATGACGTGGCTCCCTCCAGATCTGCCCCTGTCCTCTCACCATCACCATGCTTCAGAAGTCAGCAGTCACAGGAACAGCACCGAGGGGACAATGGTCCCCAGGTGGGAGGCAGATGAAAGCTAAAGAGAGGCCTGGGGCTGGGCTGCTGGCATTGTCTGATGCTGGTGGCTCTGATGAGAAAGCGACCTTGAGTAAATAGAAAGTTTCTCTATAAAAGAGATTTGCTGCAAGAAACAGGAGGGGAAAAAATAAGGTAATATCTGAATGGTGACCTCAATAAGATGTAAGAGAATTTCGCATCGGTGAAATTCAATCAGCAGCCATGGAGGAGGGTAGCGGAACAAACTGATCGGGACAGTTTGCCTGAGCTGCAAATATGGACAGCAGGGTGGATAGTGAAGACGTTGGTGAAGACAATTCCAACGAGAGAGATGCACTGGGTACTCAGTAGGGAAGAATGAAGAGACGAGAAGGATGGCAGGAAGGAAGAGACAGAAAGGACAACTCCAGAAGTCACTATCTATTGAAAATAAGATGCCCAGGAGAGAGACAGAAGGGATAATTCAGAAACAATAATTAAAAGTTAATAGATTTTCTTTTGAGCAGGTAGAAGACTTTAGTCTTGAGTCAAATATCAGACTATATATTTGAAGGACAGAGATCTAAATATATATATATGCTGGTGAAACGCCATTTAGGAAAAAAAGGGGAAAACACAAGCCAACTTCATAAAACACTAAATCTACGGAAAGTGAAGCGATCTTTTAAAGACTTTTGAGACTTTTATTTTGGTAGAGGGGAGGGGATGGGGTTGAGACAAAATGGCTGAAGGGGATGGAGAAGTACAAACTTCGGTCATAAATAAGTCATGGGGTTATCAAGTTCAGCAAGGGGAATATAGTCAATAATATTGTATTAAGTCTGCATGGT